TTCATCATTGGTGTCACGAAATGAGGAAAAAAGATTAAAATAGCACCACATTTCTCAAATTTTCTATTTTATAGACAACAGTGCTTTAGGTTAGCTATATCAACAACCATGAAATTTATTTTAGTAACGCACTCATTATTACAGAGAATATGTAAAAAGTAAAAATTCTCCCCATGTGAGAGTGTTCAGCTTGGTGGTCTGAGTTTATCAGTGATCCCTGATATTCTGTTGGCTTCAAAAAATCTCCCACATGTCCAAATCATCAATTTAAAGATCCTGAATTAGCTTCTAAAGAAAAGAGGTAGGAAACTAGTAATGCTTTAAAACAGTGGAGACTTGAGCAAGTATGCAAAATATTCATCATTTGCCCTGTTCTTTGACACTGAGCAGAAGAAACAGAAAGCTGAATATTATACTCTTTGAGTATCAGAAAGTAAACACTCATGCTACTGGACAAAGAAAAGCATAGAACTTAAAGTTAAAGACATAAAAGAGTCAGCAAAATAGAATATGATGGTAGATAATGAAATCTGTGGATTGTAGCAAGCAATATGCATAGACTTGTCTGTAAGCAGTTAAAGGTGCTTATCAGGTTAGATCAAAAACTTAAAACTACTTAAAACATTGACAGACCAATTAAAGATAAAGAGGTACTCAAAATGAAAGAAAATTGTGAAGTAAAGACAAGGCAGTTTCAGGATTGAACCTGAGTGGCCATCCGGAGGAAACGTGACATGGGTGGTCATGAGGAGGGAATGTGCCATGGATGGTCATGAGTAGGGAACATGGAATGAATGATCATGAGTAGGGAAGGTGGCATGGATGCTCATGAGGAGGGAATGTAGCATGGGTAGTCATGAGAAGGTATTGTGATATGAATAAATGGTCATGAGTAGGGAACGTGGGTTGGATCAGAATGTAGGTGTGATGCAAGGTTTATTTATCTGAAAGCCAACCAATCCTAAACATTAGATGATATGTTTCAGGTAAGACACGTCAATGTTAAAAAATAATAAGGCTGCCATTAATGTGAATATAAAAAAATCTAATAACATATACAAAATTAGATAATCAGGAAATCAAACATATAATGTTCTTTCATATTCCCATGAATTACTTTTAAAGTCACACCTTAAAGTACCTAACTTGGGCTACCTCACCTCTGCTATATTCTGTGTGCAAAATGCCATGAGCATTGAAATACTTATATAAGGGAGAAAATTCACTAGTCCTAATAACTAAAAAGCTTTATCATTGCATTTTGGGATGGTCTGGTATCAGAAATTAAACTACGGGACACTTTGAAAGCATAGTATTAGTCAAAAAAATTACAGTGAAATACAATATGGGAAAACAACCTCTTGAGGCATGATTAATAAAAAAAACTCGGGGTCAGAAATTGGAGTTTAAACTGAAGACCCAAAAAGTAAAACAGCCAGCCACTAGTTCTTACCTCAACCTCAGTCTGAAATGGTGATCCTCCCTCCAAGAATCTCAGAATGAGACTGTGTCTGAGAGCTGTATTCCCCACCCCCTGCCTCACTATTTTATATTCCTCTCTAGGGCTGAGATTAAAGGATTACACCACTGTCATTAAAGGCATGCACCACCTGATTTCTATGACAACTAGTGTGGCTACTGGGATTAAAGATGAGTGTCATTGTGGCTAGTGGGACTAAAGGTGTGTGTTATCATAACCTGCTGTGGAAGGCTGGCCAGTGGAACTGTTTTACTCTCAGATCTTCAGGCAGTCTTTATTTATTAAAATAGAATTGAAATGCCACTACAACCTCTGAGAAAAATTTTCTAACTCCTCAGGGTTATTAAATAGCTATTTAATTATTATGAACCCAGAAAGAATATAAATAAAATTATTCAACAAAACATTCAGCCTCATTTTTTCTAAATCAAGGAAAATTTACCAAAATGAATAAATGTGGAAGCCAATGCTTTGAAAGTAAATTAACATGGGCAAACTCCTAACTAAATGCATCAGCAATGCGTGTCTAACTACACAAAATTAGAAAAATAATGAGAAACAGCTATAATTATTGAAAGACATGATTTTTGGAGAGGGTGTAAGAAAGAAAAATGAGCTACAGACAATTAACTTCTAAGAAAGAAATAGGTAGAGTCGGCGAAACCTAGCCACTATTGCCAGTCTCCTGGGCACAAAAACTTGCCTTGTGACATCACTTCAGTGGATGGGAGAGGTAGAGATCTTGGGTGAGACAGAAGAAGGGAAAATATAATCAAAATATAGTGTATTAATATTTTATAACATTAAAAACTGAAAACATTAGAAAAATAAGCTTCTGAAAGACATTGGCCTTTCAAGGAGCAGACACTTTGAAGTTTAAGCAAATTATTTTTCACATTAGAAGACAAAATTCTCCTCAACTACTACTATAATACAAATGTTACAGACAAAAGGCTAGGGAAATCTCATCATTGAACGTATGGAACCTATGGACAATTTGTTTATAAGTTGAAAAGTAATGCATGACCCTCGAGTTTAGCTGCCCAAGCAAATGATAAAGGTCCAAGGGAGGTTACGCTACAGAAAGAAGCAGAGAGCTGCACCACAGGTAGCGTTCAGGGTTCATCTGCAAGCATGCCAAAGCAGGCAGGCTAGGCAGTGGACTGTGGGTGTGCAAGTTCTCCTGTTTGCAGGGCTGTGTGGATAACTGCTCGGAGAATTGTGAAGCGTTTACATGAAATGGTTGTAGTCAGAGACCAGGCTAACAAATGGTGAGGTAAAGGAGGTTAGCTGTTGGGTTTTAAGTGAGTTTGGTGACCATCTGCTGTAAGAGTGATCAGTAGCTTTAAAAGGAAAACTTACATTATTATGTACCAAGAAATCAGCCTTTTACTTCAGAGGAAAGAAATCATTTCAGTGACAACAGCTAAATGTTTTCTCTTAGTCTTTGAAGTATTTGCAAATATGTATTCTGTTTATCAACAAACAGTCGGACAGAAGATTTGCTGCTACGACCACAACTTCTCATCCTCAGGTTATGTTGAGTGGAAACCAATATTTTTATTTATTTTATATTTTAATTAACTAGAGAAACCAAGCCTTTTAACCTCAATAAAGCAACCTTAGCTTCAAGGCCTTTAAGAGACAGGGCTTCTTCCAGGTGCCTCTGGGCCATTGAGGACTGCAGAGGCTCATCCCTCACATCAGAGGCTGCTCAGCTCAGATGAATAAAGAAGCAGTCGACCAGATGAACTCAACGGGCAGGATGCTCTAAGCCTTTGAGAACCCGAAGAGTTCGTGTTTTAACTTACAGTAGGGTGTAAGCGGGGACTGTCATGACTTACTGAACTTTACTCCACCCCGAGGCTGAGGAGCATTTGGGTTGCAGTGTTGACAGTCAATTGGAAGAAGGCAGAACAGAGGTCAGAGACTTGGAAGCAAACTCCCCATCAAAATGTGTGTTCAAAATATCCCTTAAATGGGACTAACCTAAAAACTCCAAGAAGGAAATCTTCTCATTGCCTGCCAAAGGGGGTGTACTAGTCACCTAAAGACACTGAGGAACTGGGCCTCAATATCAGTGTCCCTTTCTCAGGGCTACACTCGGGAGCTCTGATAGAGAAACTTTGTTTTCCTCTTACAAATTCACCTTTTGAGAAAATTAAGGTAGCTGAATACTTATGCCTTGAGAGGAGTTTGATTTCAAATTTTCCTCAAAGTCCTTATGAAGATATTTAGAAGAATAAAAAGACTGTCAGATAATGACTTAATTAATCTTTAATGAGCAAAGGAGCAAGTGAAAAGGAAAAGGAGTGGATTGGAACTGATACTGCTATGGCAAAAGCAGCGGGTGGGTGTCTAGACATCAAGCTAGAAGTTTCTCTGCACGACTCCCGTCTTACAGACTTGGGGCCTGTGCTACTTTCTGTATATTAGACATCTCAAGAACTGCCTAAAGCCACTGCAACCTGATTCTTAAAAAGAATTGAAAAGGGAAAATTGCGTGGAGAGCGTGAAAATAGAAAGTGAGAAAACTGTCCTCTTTAAAAAGGAAGCGGACAGGCATTCTAAGCATACCTTTCTCCGCTACTGTTTCTTTTCTTTTTTTTATTAATTTATAAAAGTTTCCACTTCCGCCCCTCCTCCCAATACCCTCCCATTCCCCCCCTCCTTCTCCTCCTCCCTCTTTAGCCCTAAGAGCAGTCAGTGTTTCCTGACCTGTGGGAAGTTCAAGTTCCTCCCCCCTCCCTCCAGGTCTAGGAAGGTGAGCATCCAAACTGACTAGGATCCCAAAAATCCAGAACATGCAGAGGAAACAAGTCCCAGTGCCATTATCAATGGCTTCTCAGACAGTCCCTGTGCCAGCCACATTAAAACCCTCATTGTTTGCTAAGCCTTGTTCTGTGCGTTTTCATGGTCTGAGTTCAAACTGGAGGGAAGAGGGACGGGGAGGAAATAAATTCTTTTCTTAAAACATATTCCTTACTAAACACAGGAACTGCTCTATATTGGAGAGGAAGCCAGAATCATCATGAATTCGGGTTCTATTTTTCTAATTGAAAGGATTCTCGCTGGCCGATTGGCGAAGATAGGCATCCGGATTTGGGGATGGTTATCTGAAGCCCTGCCTGTCATTACGTTTCACAGCCATGAAAGAACATCTACTTTTAGGTTCTGAATCGGTCAAGATTCAATGGACTCCTCAGCTTGTTTTCTTGCCCAAGTCCCTGAAATCTTGCCCAGGTTTACGCCGTACCCACCCCAGAGTTGCGGGTATCAGTGTGTGATCAGCACTTGCCATCCTGTTCTGTGATGCACCGCTTCCAACCCAGACAAGAGCCTCTTAAAAGATTCTTAAAATTGAGGTCAGGATGGGAAAGAGTTCCCTGCTTCTCACAGCCGTCACTTCAGGGCCTCTGTTCCAGGTGCTGAGAAGCTGAAGTAACGGAGAATTATTTGGAAAGGTAGGTGGGACCTTTCTGGTTGTGAGGCCTCACAGTGAGGCTGGCACATCTCTTACCTGAGGCCTACGGATCCGGAAAAGAAACAGAGATAAGAGAACAGAGACGGTGAAAAGAGCCAGGACTAGTGTGCTGTGAAAAGGGACGCCTCTTGGTTTAAGTCCCAGAGAAGCTGTGACCTGCTAAGAAGAAAAAGGTTTATCTATTATGCCAGTGACAGTGAAAAGTGACTTTATTGCCAAAATGATGCATGCCACGTTTCCTTTCTCAGGTAGAAGGAGGTCACATGGACATCCTCCAAGGGAATTTATCAAGTTTATTTTATATTATCTTAATGTATAAATGTTACAAAATAAACATGAAAACCTGTTATACCTATTTATTTGGGACAAGGACAGAATGTCATTCTTAAAATTGTACAATGAATGGCCATTTCAACCCTCATTAAATACCTATTCCTCAGGAGTGCTTCATATCACTCTTTCCCCTGGAATCTGGTTTGGGAGTGTCCTCTGAGGGGAGCCCATTCGTAGACTGTGACAAGGTTTTGGAGTGTGAGGAAGACAGGTGAAGGGAAACAAATGAGCCATGGGAGACTTTGCTATTGCTACATATCCAAGAGCCAGGAGATGTTGGGAGCTCCACCTCACAAGGTAGTACATGAAAACAGTACACATTGTGCTCGCCTGGAGTGCCACTTGCAAGCTTGTTAATACTGATATGATCTATGCTAGGAGGGTGGGAATGTCGCCATTATGTGTGGACAGGATGTGGACCACTGTAGGAAAACACACTGCAGGAAATGAGAGTTCAACCCCCTTTCCTTCATTGTTCCTCAGGTCCTCACGGCCCACGTGTGTATTACTCCACAGCTGAGTAGACCAGAGTTCTTGTCAGCAAAGCCTGTCTCCTTTCTTTCGGCTGTAGTTCCTCTGCTGTTTTGGTAACACACATTTGTATATTGCGCCTTTGCTGGCTTTCTTGTTCTTCCGGGCGTTGGTTCCCTATTCTAGTGCTGGTATGAAGGCTAAATCAAGGTCACATGGTCTCACTAACAAACCAAAACCTTTGGAACTCTAGGCAGACATGTAGGGTCTCATACTTTTTCTTGAATACCAAAATTTAACATTTAGCACAAGTTTTCAGATACTTATAATTGCTATAGTTCAAGGAGGAGCACAGTAAATTCTCTTGGGAAGGAAGTGCTCACTGTATTTGTAGAGCTTCTTAAGCCTTCTCTTTCCTTACAGCTAGAACATTCTCAGTAAGGAATGGATATTTTTGGCTCCAAGTAGGACCATCCACCTCCTTCACAGGTCTACATTCCAGCTTCTTAGCCTGCAGTTAGCCATGAGAGTCATGCCACTGAGCGTGGATGTTACAGAAAACTTGACAGTAGGAAAGGATTTGTGAATGGACACCAATCAAAAGATTAATTCCTAATACAATGTGTGAAGTTAATGAACATTCTTTTAAAATGAAAACAGAACAAAAATGCAAACCAAATCTAGCATGGAATGAATTGGAGATGCTTTTGACAGCACTCAGCCATGCTTCAGTGCCCAAGCCATCCAACCACAGAACACTACGGAACACTGCCTGTAACACATTGACTTAGACTCAAGACTATTGTGTGTTATGACAATCCAAATCTACCAGCCACTGGTAGGTAGCAGTGATCTGCCCCGGAACATCCAGGAGGTAGGCACCAATTCTGTGGTGCACTTCGTATTTCAGAAACACCTTTGGGACCTGACTGAGGCTGAGCCCTTCTATGTATAAGAATCAAGAATCTATACGCAGAGGAGAGCCACGGACAGGCACCATCTTCTCTTCTTCCTCACATTTGCTTTCTTCATTCCCCCCAGCACATGACTGTCTCTGCCCCAGATCCGCTTCTGAACAACACAACATCAAATAATGGCCAGTGCTGTTAAACCCGTGAGCTCATTTATGGTGCTGTTTGTCTCATACAGATAATGGTTTAATTTGGGGGTATTTTGTGGGATCATTAACTTCAAATTAGTTTTATGATTCCAACTTTAATTATAAGGCTCTTAATTAATTATTCTCGACATATTTATTTAGAAACACAAACAACATCTGAACTTACACAAGACTGTTTTTTTTTAAAAAACTGCAAGTGATAATTTGTATTATGCCAGACATCTCTAAATGAAAATAATTTTTCCCTTTCAATTGAACCAAGCATAAAAACGTGGCCCCCGCCTGTCATTTGTGCAACTTTGGTCTTCTTTTTCCCTTCCATTATTCATTTTTACAGACATTTCTTATCATGTGTTGGGGACACATATTCACCTTCCTAATGTGTAAATATATCTTGCTTGTGGGGACCAGTCGAGTTTTATAGATAGGAAAGTCATTTAAGTGTTTTCACAACTTGTCTCACTCATCCTTAAAATGATGCATTTCTTACTTATGAGCATTGTGTACCAATAAGAACAAGAGCCTGCTTTCTATTTATTTAGGATGATCCATACATTTCCAAGAAATGTTTATTTTCTGCTCACAGGACACAGGCAGCTCATTGCGGTAAAACAGCAATCATTTCATGAGTTCTTAACCCATGACCAAAGGCGTGCAATCATTATCTTACTTAACGACGAGGGCGTCCCTGCAGAGCAGGTGTGTCTCCATTCCACAGACAAGAAGCGTGGACATACGGAGACACATGTTTATTATAGAGTCATATGACCCTGAAGGCAATTGCTTCTCAGAGGTGCACGGTAACTCATTTTGGCTGAAATAAGATATTTCCCTAACTCCCAGTGTAGATAAAGCGCAGATGTCGGCCACCTCTGGTCAGATAAATAGCACAGAGAGACAACACTGAGAGGTCACACAAAATTAACCAAAAAACATTGCAAATACATTGTGATCAAATAATAAACACTTCAGGAAAATTTAAAATAGCAAGGAGAGAGAAACTTTATTTAGAAATAGAAGCAACATTTGTACTTATGCAAATCTTTTTTATTGTAAACAGTGAGTGACAACATGCCTTCTTTTTCTCTTCCAGAGTCCAGATATACCCCACCCGAAGACCATGACTTAGTGTAAACACCATGAGAGTAAATTAACAGAAAAATAAACATAAAATCAAAAACCTAATGGTAGCAGTAACTGCAAATGATCAAAATAAAGCAATTAAAGGTCAAAATTTGAATGTTAGATAACACAGTCCTACCATATGATGTGAGCAGGAAACTCATGTAGACTTGTATACAAACAAGCTCAAAGTAAGAGAACAGAAACGTTATCCCATGATGCTATCCAAGAAGAAGAAAAATGGCTATTCAGATGGGAAAGACGGAAATATAGAATAAACTTTCAAGTTAGTAATCTAATCATACCTCAGATTTTAAAAAAAGGCAGAATAAATACAAAGCAGACAAAATAAATAAGAAAGGAGGAGAGAAGAATGCGAGGAAAGAAAAAACAAAAACATTAGAAAAAATAATCCAAATACTGAATTTTAGCATCACTAAAATATTACATAGATTAAAATTAGGGATAAAGGTAGAGCTATGCTATGACTTAGGCAGGATTTTAGTATGGACTTCATACTTAGACTCAACAATTTAAAAATAGACAATTTCTTCTAGCATCACCAACTTAATACTCAACAAAAAAGAAATAGTCTGAATGGGTCTGTTCAAATTTCTGATTGAAAAGCTCCGAAATAAAATACTCAAACCTAAGTAATCCCTCCAGAGAATGATACCAGCTAGTTAAGGAATTAATAATAGTGTATAATCTCTTCCAAATGTATGTTCCCCATCTTATTAATACAGTATCAATTTGACACACATACCATGGAAAATTTGAACAAAGGTTGAGGGAAGAAAAAAATACAAATAAATATTTCTCATGAGTTTAATCAAAATTCTCAAACAAATAATTGCAAATAAAATCCAAAATATAAAAAATATGGTATGGGCAAGGGGAATTTATCTAGGCATATAAATAAATAAACTGATTTAGTATTTGAAATTAGGTCACTAAATTTTAAGCGACATGGTCAGAAAAATTAATTCAGAAAAGACCTTGAAGTACACCCAAAAATCTCATTCATATTAAAGCCCCTTAGAACATTACTGAATGAAAACACTTGGCATTTATTAAGGCTTCCTGGTGATCAGAAACAGTGGTGCACACCTGTAATCCCATGACTCCATAGACCAACTAGAAAAAAAACTAATGTATGAACAAGAAATAAATAAAAAAGGAAGACATAGTAACATTGGATTACACTGGAACAAACAAAAATATTGCACAGTGAGACCCTGTCTCAAATAAAACAAATTAAATGCATAAATAAAACAGTTTGAAATAAAATATCACAAAATTTCAATAGATACACAGAAAGTGAAACCCAACCCCTAAATCTAGAACTTATTACTAAGTTCAGCAATGTCATAAGATTCAAGACAAACACAAAAATATCTACATCATTAAAGAGAAAATGCCCTCCAGTGCATGTTATTAATAGTCCTTCTTCCTCCTCTTTCTCCCTGTCTCTCTTTAATTTTTATGGTTCTAGGAAACCCACAGAGGACAGGATGTACAGTGAACTATGGTTCATTGAAAAATAGATGTGGGACAATAAAAATCAAATAATAGCTAAACCACTTTAAAAATAGAATAATGTGAGAGTGATCACTCTGTCCAATGTTAAAATCTACACAAGGGTGGTAATCACATGATGCTGTAATGGTGAAGGGGGATACATGAAATGAGCAGAAAGAGACCCCAAATATACATTTAAATAAATATCCTATATTGGTTTTTACAGATATGAAAAAGGAATTCTCTGGAAAAAAAGATTCTTCTTATTGAACAGATTTTACTGCATCATTTTGTAGGAAAATCCACAGAAATTAAAGCAAAACCTTGGCTTGAACCCTATACTTTATTCAGCATTTAAAAGTGAAATTGAACTATGCACCTGAGATGTGTCAAAGACCCAACTAAAGACTGACAATATAAAATTCTTAGAGAACTCAGGAGAAAGTCTCTAAGATTTAAGGCTTTAGATTACTTTTAAAAATCCTTAAAATTCATAATAAAAGACAAATTTGTTTTAAAAGGAAAAAAGAAAAGGAAATGAAAGAAACGAGAAGCAAACTGGAAATAACTAGACTTAACTAGACTTAAATCATAATTTCCATGAAAGATTCTCTTAAATAAATGAAAGACAATCTAGAAACTGGGAGAAAGTGTTTGCAACCACAATATATATATTTCCCGGGTCTGCTCTGCTTGCTAGAGGCAAGCAAGTGCTCTCATCTAAGAGAGACTTCCTGACTCAGCTTTAGCTGCAAAATCCTGCAGCTCTTTTAAGAGGCCCTGCCACGAAACACTTAAACGGTGTTGATGAAAAGCTGAATGCATGCTTTTCGGTTTTCAGCCATAGCAGGAAAAAAGCTGTGCTGTTTTAAAATGCCGACTTTCTGGGCCGTCCTGCCAGTGCAAACTCTGACTCTTTCAGGCAAGTAGTCTGACTGAGTGTGGTCTGTGAGCAGAATGCTGCAGCTTGCTTGCTGGCAGGGACCTTGAAACACTGTAGAGTTGTGACAATAAAAATGGCTCTGGTGGTACCTCTGCTGTGGCTGGAAAGCTAAGGAATGGGCTGGATCTAGCTGTCAAAGCCACGGCTTTCATCCTCTCCTTAAAGACTCATGTAGTCAGAAAAAGAGAGATATACAGTAAAAAGAGATTCAAAGATGAAAAAAACCTCTTAATGGTTTACAATGTTTTAAAAATATATGCAGGCTAAAAGTTAAGTTCTTAAAGTAAAAAAAAAGAAAGAAAGAAAGAAAGAAAGAGAGTGAGAAAGAGTAGTTGGGTGTGGTGGTACACACTTTTTATCCCAACACTAGGGAAGCAGAGGTAGATTGACCTCTGTGACTTCAAGGGGCAGAGGTAGACTGACCTCTGTGACTTCAAGGTGTGTTAGCACACGCCTTTAATCCCAGCACTAGGGAGGCAGAGACAGGCAGATCTCTGTGAGTTCAAGGACAGCCTGGTCTACAGAGTTATTCTCTGTAGGACAAAGATATACAGAGAACCTGTCTCAAAAAGTAAAAGTAAAAATAAAAGAAATAGAGGTTAAAATAAAGCCGCATAAAGATGAAAAATACACAGAGAAAATCTTGATACTGTATGTTATTATGCTTTGTTTGAATTGTTTTAAGGCTGAGGAAGGAGCAACAGCTGCTAAAAGACTTTTGTTTATAAATGCTGCTGAACTAACCCAAGATAGGTATTTTGAAAATACCTTGGCTTCAAAACTGAAGTCAAAAGGTATGTTACTTTGGAGAAGAGATTTTGCTTTTGTTTCCACAGAAAATGAGAGGCTGTGGATTCATTCTGAGTTAAGAAAAATCAGGTTCGATAAAAGAAGACCACCTGAGAAATCTCCCATAGGAACAGATGGCTAACATGACAGAGTTCTACATCCAGAATAGATTCAAGACTGCTGCCTGAGATGATCAAGACTCCCAGGATACTCCAGTCAGGACTTGATTATAACTCTAAATTTTCTTTAGGTCCCCATAAGATTATCAGCGCCCCCAATCAGCAGGAAGTTGCCTGGAATACTACACCCACATTCCCAAAAAATGGACTATGGATATTTTCCTTTGTTTTTTTTTGTTTGTTTTGTTTTTTTTTAAAGAGGGGGAAGTGGTGCAGGAGAATTATCTGTACTCTGTCGATCATGTATTTTAATAAAACACTGATTGACCAGGCAGGAAGTCTAGGCAGGAAAACCAGACAGGAAGTAGGTGATGCAATGAGAACAGGAATATTCTGGGAAGCAGGAAGCTCCCTCCACCATTCGTGCCCAGACCACCGAAGAGGCAACATGTGAGCTGACAGCTGAAAAAGGTACCAAGCCATATGGCTAATGTAAATAAGGATAATGGTGTAACAAAAGTTATAAGAGCTAATAAGTAGCCTGACCTAATGGGCCAATCAGCTTTATAACTTATAGAGATCTCTGTGTGATTGATTTTCTCTGGGACTTGCCGGTTGTGGGGCACCAGGTGGGAACAGAAACCCCAAAAAGCCGACCCTCATACATATACATATACATATACATATACATATACATACACACACACTCACACACACACACACACACACACACACACACACACACACATACACCATATCAATGGATCAGAAATAAGGACAGAAGGCTTAAAACAGTGAAGGATGTGACTTTCTATGCATAACAAGCAGGTGATGAAATCCCCTTTCTTGTGTTATTAGCACTATTCCTACATTGGGTGTGAATTTATCAACAGTTTTGTAAGAGAAGAAAAAAGTGACCAGAGTACATTGGTCATCTGTTTGTATCACTCTCTTGTCTGTTCTTGGTACCCTTTTCTTCCTACTGCCTTGCCTCATCCAGCCTTGATATGAGGGTTTGCACCTAATCTTATTGTATCTTGCTATGCTGTGTTTGGTTGGTATCCCTGAGAAGTCTGCTATTTTTTGAAGGGAAATGAAGGAAGAGTGGACCTTGAGGAGAAGGGAGATGAGAGGAATACTGGGAGGAGTAGAGGGAGGGAAAACTGTGGTTAGGATATATTGAAAACAAAAAATAAATCTAAAAGTGAAAAAAAAAGAAAACCCATACAAAGTATTCTAAAATGATCTCAAAATTTAGAAATGTTAAAAAGTTAAACACACAATTTTCATATAAAATGCAATCAATTTGTCTGAAATATTACTGTACTTCAGTTTAAGAAGCTATTAAGTAAGGTAGTAGGATGGATCAAAGGAGAATCTGAAAATCACACTCACATATACATAGAAATAAACACACAAATATACACATATACACATACATACAATTACACGCATATGCACATATATACACATGAACAAATGCATACACAAGAACATAAACACATAAATACACAAATGCATACACATAAACACAAACACACATAAAAACACATACACCCTCATCCCCATATATATACATAAATATATACAGACTTGTACATATATACACACATATACATACTCAAATACATATATATATGTACACACACATATATACATACTTATGCATATTTTTATATATACACACCCATCTATACACATAGAAACAATACATATGCACACATATATATGCACATATGCTTACATATATACACATTCACATGCATACATATATACACAATCATATTTATTTACTTCTGTGTATTTTTATTTTCTTTTTTAAGACAGGCTGGCATCAAAATCACAATCCTTCTGTCATAATCTCCCTAAAATAGGCATATTCTGCTACGTTTTGTTGATATAAATATATAGGTGGTCATGTATGGTAAGCAAATTTCCTAATAATGTAAAACTGATAAATTTCCTATAAGAAAGTAAAATGTTAATGTTTTATTCAATTCTTACTATGGGACAAAAGAACGGAAGTCAACTGTATCTTATTTGCCCATGAACTCAGATATCATGAGGACAAACTAGATAACATAGGGAATCACTTGCTTTTGCTTTTCTGCAGATTCACATTGGCTCTAGAGAAGTACAAGGTAGTTATAACTACCAAAATTTATGCTCTCTGAGGAGACCAGCTTGAAACAATCCAAACATCTCCAGGCGCTGCTCCATTACATCTAGCATTGGGTAAGACAGCAAATGGTTGCTTTAGTCTATTTTCAAATTTGAGGAAGCATTGACCTGAGAAGTCAGACGCCCACTCTTGGCGTGTGGGGTGAGAGTCACAAATGTGATATCATTAAGAGAGACGACCTCACTGTTAAGGTTTCCTAAGCATTTCCTTTTTTTCGTTTGTTATAGGGTATCATGGAACTGAAAAGGCGACTTTTGGTAGAATTATCAAAGAGGGATTTACAAAGAAAAGGAAGAAACGTCTGACACATAGCTACATGGTGGGATTAAAGAATGAGCAGATGGCAGGAGCAACCTTTTGAGACAGGGCCTTGCTGAAGCTACCCTATAACTCAGGGTTTTTCTTCCTCAATGTCTCAAGAACTAGGATTACAGAAGTGCAACATGTTATTCAGTTCTTGAAGTGAGATGAACTCCTTCTTAATTATCTAAAGGTTGCAAAATCAGTTTAGTGGTCCAGCAGGAGACAGAAATGCAGCCAACCGTAGCAGTTAAGGGAAAACAACAACAAAACCTCCCTTGCTATTTCAGGAGCTGCTCCGAGTGACTCATATCTCTTAATCCTCATGACACAGGAACTGGATAGAATTGCTGATCCCGTGTCCCAATCACTTCTGGTGAGTGGTGGAGACAAATTTGGATCTGCAAAGTTGAGATCTGGAATCTGTGAGCAGAACATTGGACTATGTTTCATGTCATTGAAACTTATCTCTCCTATTCCAAGAAAGTTTTTTCTTGAAAAAGATTCACAAGGTAAACTCCTGGATTTATCGTAAAAATCATTTTTACTTGAGTATTTCCAACTTACATTTAATAATCTGGGCATAAAATGTCAATTCCAAAAGAGAAAGTGGGCAGCTTAAAATTGATAGTTTGTCATTTCTATTTCTTTTAGAGATTTTAATAATCTAAGAATTATGACTTAGAACTCTGAACGGATATTTAAAACCTTTGTTCCACAGTGTGGAATAAATAAAATGCCACTTAGAAAAATTTACCTGAAAATTAAAGTCAACTGCTTTCGACACTTAATGAGTGCTTACCGGCAGCAGTGGTGATTTCATGCATTCTTTCATGTCATAGGCCTTGTGTCTGGAATACTGGCTGGTTGCCCTCATTGTCTTTGGAATGTGGAAACTATTAGAGTTGTTGCTCGTGGAGGAAAACGTGCCACTTTGTCTCAGGAACTGCAGGCAGTTGTGCACAATACAGATGGAGTAATCAGATGGATGGCCACAGGCTTCTTTGTAGTTTTTGTTGTTCTTAGTGTGAAGTTGTAAGCTTGGCATTTTACCATCCTCTCGGCTTGTTTGAAGATTTAAAAATGCTTATGCGCTATCTGCAGGCAGATGGGAGAATGCCTAGCATTGATATTTCCTGATGGAAGGAAATGCAGGAAGACCAATTTAGTAATGTCTCCATGTGGGTACTCTATGATAGTTTTATCTATGGAAACTCAGCTTCCAAATGTTTGGAGAACATAAAACACGAATGGGAATGATTTCTTTTAGGTTGTGAAATTGGGAACTTCTAAGTTCTTGATCTTAAGTCATGCTTCTGATGTACAGTGGAAATTAAGTCCTTCATAGCTGCCATGGTTTGAGTGTGTCCCCAAAATTCATGTATTGTGAAACTTATGTCCAGTTTGGAGTGTTGAGAGTTAGAGCCCTTCAGAGGATTTGGGTCATGACTCCTGCAAAATTAGTGACTTGGATCTATGTAATTGCCATAGGAACAGGTTCCTTATTGTGCTAGCAAGTTTGCTACAAAAGAGAGTTGGGCCTTCTCTTCTCTAAACCTTCTGCCCAGTCATTGAATGATGCATCCAGAATATCCTTAGCTGGCATGGTCTCCTTAACTTTGAAGTTTCTGGATTCTAGTATTGTAAGAAACAAACTTTTTTATTATCTATTTACTTTTTAGTTGTTATTTGTCTTTATGAATTTCCCATATATAGATGCTCCATACTAGCAAAAAAAATGAGAGAGAGAGAAAGAAACTAAGAAGATAAAAAACTCTACCTATTCTTGGGCTTTTGCACACATGGTCTCTCTTCATTGCTAAGAAGTTAAGAGTTGTTGATTCAAAGCCAATTTTGAAGTTTGAAATCGGACATGGAACCATTGGAAGATCAACTTGGATGAATGAGAGAGCTAAGCTGCAATATCCCAGAGTAAATGATAAAAGCAAAACAAAAATAATAAGTCTTCAATCACTTCCAAAGATAGCATAAGTGAACAGTCAGGAGCAGAGACCAGGCTCATGAAAAGGACTCATGGCCCCTCTTCCTGGAACAGCCTAGGAATGGAGGGTCCCTGCTATAGTAATAATGGGATCCTCTTCCCAGGGAAGGAATCCAGGTAATAGGCTAAGGACAGTTTTAGCCTTGAGGTTGTGGGAAGCAAGAAAGGAGGCAAGACCCAGAAAACCCTGAGCACTCAAACATTCATATTCCTCCATCCCACACCCCAAGAAGATGGTCCCTCTCGTGCAATGCTCCTGCAGACCTCAGTCAAGTATTTAACTTCATGGACGAAATTATTTTATTTTATTGCAAACTATTTTAAAAAGTTGGGAAGCCTTTAATCCCAGCACTCAGGAGGCAGAGGTAGGCGGATCTTTGTGAGTTCAAGGCCAGCCTGGTCTACACAGTGAGTTCCAGGACAGGCTCCAAAGCTACAGAGAAACCCTGTTTCAAAAGCCAAAAAAACCACAAACAAATAAATAAACAAAAAACTCTTAATGTAAGGAACATACCTTTGTTAATGGATGAAATGAGAAAGATGACTTCAAGAAAACAATTAATAGTTATAACTCATTTGCAACTAAAACCCTAGAATTGCTATTTTTACTCATAGTGGACTGATGTATATTTTAAGATTTCTGACATAAATTTGAGAAATTGCAAATAAGTAATCTGTCTTATCAGATAAATCCTAAGTCCATCCTTATAATGAGACATTGTGTGGGTAGCAGATGAATGAGAATTAATGGACCAAGGATGGGACAGAGAGCAGAGAGATATATGTGTTTGTGCCAGGGTTTCTGCGCATTTTCTTTAATATTCAGTGTGAACAGAAACAAACAAAATAAAACTATATTATTACAAGAGATACAAAGAAATGATTTCAAGCAGAGTTAAAGTCTAATGAGAACAACACAAATGAAACTGTTAGAAGATCCTGCAAGAAAGTCCCTTGATGGCTTTAAAGCAAAGGCGAATTTCACAAACAAGACAAAACATACAATTCATAAAAAGGAAATGAGTGATAAATTGACCACACTAAAATGAATAAAGTCTGTGGAAAAAAGTGCACAATGAATAAAATTTAAACCCGCAGCACAGACTGGCAGAAGATATTAACAATGAACATTGCCACGAACAGTTTAGGAGCCAAAGTACATAAGGCTTTCCTCCAAAACAATGAGAAAAGAATAAATAATCCCATGGAAATTGGGCAAGAGATGAATGAGCTAGTCTAAGAAGGAGAACGGCAAATGCCAATAAACATGGAAAACGCTACTTCATCCCCCAGTACAGAGAGACAGTGTTCAGCACTGTGTAGCCTTTATCTTACAGAGATTAAAGCAGAATGAAAACACAAGCCTCATTACTGCAGACGGAGTGGAGGATGGAAAAATGCACATTTATTAAGGGGACAAGGCACAAGTATGTGTCGATAAATTTGAAAGTACAAATTAATTTAATATATTTCAAATTTTATATATTTGATCAAAAAAGTACAAAACTGTGCTTGTAAACCTGTGAATTTGAAGTTTCGATTTCTCATGTATGTGTGTGTGTGTATTTGTGTAGGTATATAAGTATGTGTATATATATATATATAAAATCATAAAATACACACAAAAACCAACATGTGGCAGGTTATAGTGACTCCAGTCAGTCCTAGAGATGACATTATGAGAAAAAGTAAGTAGAATCTTCCTTTATCTTTATAAAATAAAAATGGGCAAAATATTACCATCTGTTGCATCTGACTTGATGCACAAAAATGTGTATTATGTATCTCTGTTAGTGTATATTTATGGTGCATAAATTAGTAGAAGCATTCTAAAAGTTAGAATTTAATGTAAACAACAGTCATTATTCATATATTCTTTCCTGTGATGGTGAATTAATAAAATAGCTTGATTTAGCTATGGTTTATCAGCAAGTTCTCTAAACAACGGAGGGAAATGGTGATTATCCAGAACATATCAAAAGACTATTAGTCATGATTGTAGAAAGGCAGACTCTGTTCTTAGTTCATTAATCTTCTATTTCCCCTAAGCTACAAAGATGAGGAGATCGCACTGGTAATAACCAAAAGCAGAGGCTTAGGAGAAATACAAAAGTGGTGTCTTGATGTCCTGGGTATTCAGATCTTGTCACATGACTTACAGTCTCTTTGTTGTCTCACATGGCTGTGTCCAGTTAATGATCAAAACTGTAGAGTCAATTCTGTCTCAGCTCCAGGCAATGCTGACTCAGTAGCCAGAGCTCCTTAGATATGCAACTTCTAATTTTCAGATTGTTTTAGCTCCTCTGTAATATTTCTTAAATTATCAGATCCATTAACCATTCTTGGTGAGTTCTGATGGTCTGGTTTTGGCTGTGTGAGTCAGGTTCTAATAGTCTCTAAACTTAAACTTTGTGCCACAGAAAGTCAATTAAATACCAAAAATGAAACAAAGCAAAAACAAAACATAACAAAACTTTCTGAATAACAGTCCAAGCCATAACAATCAAAAGTACCCTAAAAGATTGTCCCTAGTTGAAAGCTATCACAGCATCCTGGGAAGTGGGGAAGTCCTTGGAAACCAGCTTCAAAGCAAATTGGGCAAGTTCACTGCCATGTGTCTGTTTATTTTCAATAAAGAGATGACAGTAGAAATATAGAATTAAAGTAACACAGGTAATAGCAATGGCTTCTCAAGAAGGGTTTTAATTAGCACTTAAAATTATGTGGTATTTATGAAATGTTTACAAGAATTTATGGCTCAGTTCAACTTTGGTATATGGTACTTATCTAAAAAAATGTCCATTTCTTTTACATTTTCCAACTTTGTGGCATATAAACTTTCGTAGTAAGATCTAATCACCATAGATCCCTCATCTGGCGTTGGATGACGATACAGATGGAGGCCCGCGTTGGAGCACCGAACTGAGCCCCCCAAGATCCAAACGAGGAGCAAAAGGAGGAAGAAAATGACGAAGGACTGCGAGGGATACTATCACCCACTGATACAAGGGGTCGGATCTAATGAGAGTTTACCAAGGCCAGATGGACCGTGACTGAACGAGCATGTGATCCAACCAGATTCTCTGAATGTGGCCGGATTTTCTGAATGTGGCTGGCCTGCAGTCTTTCCGAGAAGCCATTGACAATGACACTGGGACTGGTTTCCTCTGCATATACTGGATTTTTGGGATCCAGTCTGTTTGGATGCTCACCTTCCTGGACCTGGAGTGAGGGGGGAGGAACTTGGACTTCCCACAGGGCAGGAGACCCTGACTTCCCTAGGGGACAAAGAGGGAGGAGGAGAGGGCGGGGGGGGAGTGGGAGGGTGTTGGGAGGAGGGGCGTAAATGGAAACTTTTTATAATTTAATAAAATTACAAAAAAAAAGAATTTATGGCTCATAATACATACTTTAGAAGGGATTGTTTACCAAGGAAACACATCTCACATACATTTTACAGAGCATAATATCTCTTGAGCCTGAATCATATTCATAATGCAGTTCTGGAATGTCCCGAACTGTTGACGCAATGCCAAGTTGATTTCAGATGCTATGTAAAACTAGGCAATTGGTCAACAAATCAGTCTAATGGGCAGATTCATGTCAGTAATTATTCCCCAACGACAGCAAAGCAAACCTCTCATGGGCAGATGATGTAAACAACCACAAGTGATGACTGGAAAAGACGTTTGTATTATTACAAAATGTTGGACTATTATGATTATCAAAGATCTAACCTCAAACTTTCTCCCATGCCTCAGAACCTGCCCTTGTGGTCTGATGTAGTGATGTAGATATACAATGATGGATTACTTTTTATCCTGTTTCTTTTTTATTTTTATACTTGATAAACTAAAGTTATTTAGAATCGTTGTAGATTTGTGGAAAAGTCAAGAATGTTACTAAGCTCCCATAGACATTACACTTTGTTGCCCCATCTTATCCTGACTATGGAATGTAGAATGGAGCTGATGACCCATATCAGAAACTTCATGGCTTGATGGAATTGTATTAGTTTTTACTTAATTTCTATTTTCTGTGTCAAG